ACCATAAGGAACCCTAACCATTATATAAAATCGTCTCAAAAACTAAGGTCGGTGTTGAAGACTTTGGGTGGTCTATTTTGATAGATAAAAAATAAATAGGAAAAAATATCCTACTTAACTGTCATTGAAAGTGACACCTTCGGCCAGGCGCAGTGGCTCACGCCTGTGATCCCAGCACTTTGGGAGGCTGAGGTGGGCAGATCACCTGAGGTTGGGAGTTTGAGACCAGCCTGACCAATGTAAGGAAACCCCCTCTCTACTAAAAATACAAAAATTAGGCGTGATGGCACATGCCTGTAATCCTAGCTACTTGAGAGGCTGAGGCAGGAGAATCACTTGAGCTGGGGAGACAGAGGTTGCAGTGAGCTGAGATGGTGCCATTGCACGCTAGTCTGGGTGGCAAGAGTGAAACTCTGTCTCAAAAAAAAAATGATATCCTTATATCCTACTGAATATATAGTATATTTGGTACCATGTAATGTCAGGAATTATTACATATTTATATGTAATTATACTTTTCATGGCAAGTTGGTTCTTTCTAATCTGAAGTGCTATCACTATTTTTGTGTTAAAATTATATTTAATTTTTACATATCAAGGATTATCAAGAAAAATTTAAATTAACTGGCTTTTCTCAAATGCATACTATCTGTGTTTTATATATTCAGAATAAAATTAAATAATAGAAGTGTCATAGCGATAGTTTCTTATGCTTTGCATAATTCTGGTCTTTTTACCTACAAGATTTTTTTTTAAAAAGGCAAACACCAATTGAGTGTATATCCACACAGAAATGAAATCGAACAACATATTTACTGTCTGTTCATTCATAAATTTACCTAACATTTATCAAACCCATGATCTTTTTTTTTTCTTTTTTAAGACCCTATCTCGCTCTGTCACGCAGGCTGGAGTACAGTTGTGCGATCCAGCCCGCTGCAACTTCTGCCTCCCGGGTTCAAGTGATTTTCCTGTCTTAGCCTCCCAAGTAGCTGGGGATTACAGGTGTCCACCACCACAGCCGACTGTTTTTTGTATTTTTTAGTAGAGATGAGGTTTCACCATGTTGGTCAGGCTTGTCTCAAACTCCTGACCTTAAATGATCCACCTGCTTTGGCCTCCCAAAGTGCTGGGATTACAGGCATGAGCCACCATACCCAGCCTCAAACCCATGCCCACCTCTGTTGGAGATGCTGAGTATATGGAGATGAATAAGTGATCCCTGCCCCTAGGAATTTTCAGCCTGGGAGTTTGAAGTAAAATACACCGTGCTAAACAACTGACCCTAAAGTTTAAGAGTTTAATTTTGGGACAAACATGTTTAAATCCCGTAAAAACAAAATGTATCTCTCTTCATCACTGACCCTGACAGCTTTTCAGAAATGATACTTTACGCATTGGCTAGTCTACCCTTGAACAATCTATTTAAATTATTAGGCTCATTGCTTTATTTTACCATCAGATGCTCAGATCATCCTTTCCCTACCAGGTTTCATCCTGTAAAAAATGTAGCTCTAAATTAACTCAATATAAAAACATGATTTTCCTTATTTTTATTTCCCTTCTTGTCCTTTTTGGCACGACCCAAAAGGCAGTAAGAATATAAATGCTTGTTCCACTTTTTTGAGAAAACAGAAAAGCTCCCATTCAGAGGGGCAGCTGGCGTTGTCCAGTGATGCTTCATGTAGAATGAGTGCAAGGCTAGAAGCAAGCCGCAGCCACACATGCAGCCGGGTGTGTGGTATTCACCATGCCACTGTTAGAGCACACGGCAGACTGGAAATCCAGTCCTGCATAACACTTGATTCTTTTTTTTGCTGCATACATATATGCATACACACATATCTGTACACAAAACGAATAGTTGCCCAGTAACAGTTCCTACAATGCTCAGAATTAAAACTTCAAAAGATACAAAAAGTGTGGTGAAAACTGAGTTTCCCTGCTACCTGCTATTCCTACTCTCTGTATCCCTCCCCAGAGGCAAGAGTTCTTCCAGTTTCTTATGTATCTTTCCAAAGAGATGCTGTCAGGGCACCTGTGCCAGCCTGTTCTCTCTCCTTCCAAAACCAGACACTTTATTTCAGACAATTGTGTATTCTAAGTATCCAGTTATAGATTAAATATTAAAAGCAAATGACAACAGTGTGTACAGTAAGTTTCCATTTTGAAAATAATAATACATTAGAAGAGAAATATAATATAAACCAGAATGGTAAATGATGCCTAGGTTGGGGTATGCGGGGTGCACTTCCTTGATAGCCACAGCAGTTTAATATGGGAACTTGTATAAATAAGAGCATGTAATCTTTTCATAATAAAGAAATTGTTTTAACGAAAACAGATTCACAAGCAGTCTTCTGAATGTATAAATGTGTACCCGTGTGTAAAGAGTTTGAGTTTCTTTAGACTTCAGGCACAACTGGTTGCCTTCTAAGGCCCTAGTGAGTCGTTATCTGTCCTTACTTTGAAGTAATGATAACAAGTTGAACTGAAAGTAAATTCTTAGATGGGAATAGTTTATATTCAGATCTTGGGTCCTTCACAAGTGAGTGAACCAAAAACAGGATAGGGAACAGCAAACATGGTGTTAAATCCTACACATTTTGAGTCCAAAATCCTGCTAGTGAATGCATATTATTATTTTCTCTCATATTATTATTTTCAGTGTAACCCAAGAAGCACAGCCATTTAACCACTTACAGTTCTTAACTAGTAATATTTTTTATCCTAACTAGTTAAGGCTCCTGGTTTCCAAATAGAAAATAATCACACAAAATGTGTATACTGGCTAAGAATGTACTCAGCATGTAGCATTTTTCAAGAGCAACTTGATGGAATATTCACAGTTAATTTTAAATTTAGGTACTCATTAATTGAGTGATCCTATTTCTCTGAATGTATCTTCTGGTAGCAGTCAGTTGTTATATATTGGGATATTTAACCTGGTAAATTTTCTTTCTAACATTATTTGCAAATATAACAAACATGAAGAGAAACTCAGTGTCCAAAATAGAAGGATGTTGAATAAATTTTGTCATATAACTGGAGTTAAGATGGTATGTAATGAACTATTGCCCATCAGTAAATAAGGTACTTGAAGATGAGTTCAGAACATGAGAAAGTATTTACGAAGTTATGTTATATCTAAAAGAACGATGTAAATATTCATACCTTACCTTATCAAGTATGTATTAGAAGGTAGTTTTTTTTTTGGGATTTTCCAAGTTTTCTACAACAACTATATATTAATCTTTTAAAGTTCTAAGAATAATTTAAATAATCTTAATAAAATTGCTAAAGAAAATAATTATTAAGTTTAGGATCTTTTTATTTTCTTTTTAAGCTGTGGAAGAAGTTTTCTTTTTATATGATTTTCTTCCCTCTTAGAATATCTGAAAATTCTACTATTGAAGTATTCTTTTATTTCTAATACTGTTAGCAAGTTTTTAAAGTTTTATTTTTGCACAATACCGATTTTATTCATTCACAGAGCTGAAGATGAACACAAGTAGGTAGTCATTCTTTCCTTGAGTCCAAATGCAGTTTTACTCCCCTAACTGCTTAGAGAATATCCTTTTATTGTTTGGCTATATCACTATAGCTACTTGAGTTCCCTTATTTTAATACTTTCTTGTATGAGGGGCACTTTTCTGTATTTTTACAAGTTATTTTTCTATCTTTTGTTTGCTTGTTTGTTTTTGTTTTAAGACCTATTTTCTATGTTAGGGCAAAATAGCTTGTCATTATCTTTAAATTATATTAGATTCCCAGCAAAATCATTACAATCGTTGATCAGGTGTAGTTCTGCGTGTCTGTGTGTTTGCTTTTTATGCTCTTTAGTTTGTGTTCATAATACACTTGTTGTGGATTGGACAAGTAGCATTTGTGTACATATGCTCTATGAATGCGAATTGATAAAATACATGAATATACATCCTGATGGCAATATGAAATGAAATACAGGCCTCTCGCGCACACGCGCGCATGCGTGTGTGTGTGTGTGTGTGTGTGTGTGTGTGTGTGGTCATCGTTGACTGTGCTTGAAGTTCAAAGTCAGGCAGAGGCAGTTGAATAAGTTGTAAAATAGCCCTTCTCGGGAAGGGTATGCACTTGAGTACGAAACAGAACTCTCAGTGTTAGTTTTACATTTCTGTTTGATGGAATGTAAGGTTATGGAAACAACTGTAAAAATAATTTGTCTGAAAGAAGTCTGGATACAGAAATATAATAGAGAAAATATTTGAGAATATGGTTCATCGGTGAGTGCAACAGATACTCTTCCCCAAGCACCACATGGTATGGATCAAAGCATCCCATGACGTGGATCTGTGTGGCCAAATCATTACGTATTGATTGGAACCCCACTGGAGGATTAACCCCTTCATGTTCATGCCAAATTTTCTCTCACTCTTGGTGTTAGGAATTTTAGGAGTATAATCTTCTTTGCCATTATTAGCTTTTTTTTTAAGCTAATCATCTGCTTGGATATATTTTTCTAAATTATTTTGGTATTATTCTAAATTATTTATACTCTGCTGGATAAAATTAACGGGAAAAAATATGTGATTATATGAAAGCAGTTTCTAGGGGAAGGAAAGAGGAAAAAATGGATAATAGTCCTTGTAGATATAGCATGAGAATCTCAAAATCAAGTACAGATTTTATAATTTTCGTTATGTAGATGAAGTAAGTTCTAGCTTTTTAAAGACTGCTTCGCAGTCTGAGTAAAGAGCTTTGCATCTAACAAAAGCCCGTCAAACACTTTTTCATACATAGATGTACATTTCTAACATTTGACTAAACATATTTAGGTACACTTTAACTCTTGCTTTTAGCAAACAGTGCAGAATTAGTCAATTACATGGGGTGGGGGAAATCACAGATTTGTCTTGTCCACATTTGGCCATGTGGGCTCCTCCTACCTTTTATATCCTCGTCTGGTGGAATGGTTCTTGGCAGCAAATTCATTTTCTGGTCTTCTGTGTGTTTTCTTTCAGTTTGTCCCATGAGGAGCACCCCCATAGCCATCCTCTCTATGGACATGGTGTGTGCAAGTGGCCAGGCTGCGAAGCAGTGTGCGAAGATTTCCAATCATTTCTAAAGTAAGAATGATTTTATTTTTTTCTTCTTTTACATAGCCATCACCTCCCACGAATGCTTTTGCTCATAAAATGCCTTTTTGATGAGTTTCACTTCACCCTTTTGCGAGTGGACTCTAAATCATAAGGTCCAGTGCACTGTCATAGGAATAGTTACAAAATCTATTGAGGGTTGTACTACAATGGGAAAAAGACTTAGATCTGAAGGCATAAGTCTCAGTAAGAGCCTGTGTTTACCCGTTTTTCAGAGTGACAAGCATTTTCTTAAAAAATGATCCCAGTATTAAACTTGCAGTTATTTAGCTTTTACTTTTATTCATGTCCTTACATAAATCAATAGCATGCACTATATTTTTATAAAATTGGTGTCAATTACTAGCCAATTGCATCTTGGTGATTGGGCCCATTCTTTGTTATACAGTTGACTTTATAAATGTAGAAAGTGGATGCCGAGGAAAGCTACCAATTTGATTCTTAACTTCCTATATTGGTATTAACTTTTGTTCAGAGTCTTGTCCTTATAGGGACAGTGGACTAACTTTAATTTGAAGCTATAACACCGATAAAGCATCTCTGTAAGGAAATACATTAATCTCATAGATGAAGTAAAATGCTTCTATGCTATCCCTTACTTGTGTTACCTTGTAAGTTAAAAAAGAAATTAGACCAAACTGCCCTGCATTTTTGTATCATATAAATATATTCATAATATCATTGAATCATTAACCTGTGAATTGAATATAATGTTTCATGATATTATAGACATCATTTGATAAACATATGCACATGTATAACTATAACATATATGCCCATGTGTACATCTGGGCCTGTGATGGTTTTCAAATTCGGTGTTGGGGACCATTTCCTTCTAGCTTTTCTTTCTCATTCAAGCCCCAGGGAAACAGGGGTGAGCTGATTTATGTGCAGGTCTCCAGTTTTGTGTGGTCTTTATATGGTTAGAACAATCTCTGCATCTATCTTTATGGACCTGGATACAAATATTGTAATAAAGCCATCCTTAGAGAGATATCCAGTGTTACCTGCAAGCAGTTTTGGTGAATATAATTTTTTTATTAATGAATGGAAGCCTGTGAATCTATTTTGTAGCTTCCTTGCCTCAGTATTATACGAGAACATTATGTGATCATTGAAAACTTAAGTACTTACAGATATTTTAAAAGAGATGTCCAGAATTGCTTCTAAATATCAACAACCAGAGCAGCATTGCTTTTAAATTAAGCAACAACCCTTTACAATTATTATTATTCAGATTAGTGATATTGGGCTTTGTTTTGTTTAGAAATCACTCACTATAGAATCTTTGTTTTGTTGTTTTCCTGATCATTTGCCTGATCATATTCGTATAATGATAAAAGAACTTGGCAGAAGCCACTTGTAAATTTCTGATTTTTTACTTCTACATCAGTGCTAGGTTTGATAAATATCTTGGTACTAATTTCCCCCATCTGTAGAATGGCTGATAAATAAACACCTGTAAATATGATTTATTGTCATAAAGTCTCTAGAACTATAAAATTGCTAGCTCAGGGACAGGTATCAGTTTTAGAGTCAGAAAGGGAAATGACAGTCTCTGGACTCATTTAAAAAAGTTTTTTAATGGTTAAAGTATTTTTACCCTAAAAAAAATCCTCAAATTATAGGTTCATTTATTATGTAAGCTGATAATTAGTCTATATTATTAGGAGATTTTATATAGATAGATAGATAGATAATATATATATCCCGAAAAGGAGAGAGAATGATTTCAGTATTAAAGAAAATAAAGATCATTAGAATTGGGGCCTAGGCTCAATTCCTATAAGAAAGCTCATTTCTCTTCTGAAGATATTAGGAGTCTGGCACTTGTATAGGAAACCACCTATCAATTATTTATTAATGGTTTTGCACATGACACAGCGTGTTCTCAGTTCCAATTCTCAGTGGAATTGGAATGCCCACTATCAACCTGCAACTATTGCTTAGTTATTTCCTGATACTTATTTATTGACTTATATTTGTAAGACGACTTTTGTTTGTAAGTTATAGAAACCCAACTTAAATTGGCTTAAGTGAAAATAATAAGTGGGGGATAATTGGCCCCTGTAGCTAGGAAGTCCAGTGGTAGAGCTGGCTTCAAGTGTGGCTGGATCCTGATATTTAACCAAGGTCGTTGGAGTATTGATTGTCCGTTAGCTCTGTTTTTCTGTGTTGCCTTCATTTGGGAGCCCTTTCCAAGTGGAACTGAAGAGGACAGGTTTATCAATCCCACAGTGCACCTCTTTCCCTGTAATTCCAGAAAAAGCCCTAAGCAGTCTTATTGACCCAGATTGACTTAGGTATTCTAGCTTTCAGCCAATGACCTGCCCAGGCTTGCATCACACACCGCCTCTAGAACAGAGGGAGATGTTCACCCCACGTGAAGCACGTGGGGACTGGAGATGAGAGTTGGTTCAAGAATATAAAAATGAATACTATAAAGTAGCAAAGGGAGAGCAAATGCTGAATAAGAAGAAACCCCCCCCAGATGCTTTCCCAAGTTACACATTAACTGGTTGTATATGACAAATTCAGGATTTCAGTTTTCCTCTACAACATGATTTTAACTCTTGGAAATTCAGAGTTGTCTTCAGGTATCAGGATCTTGCCTAGTACAGTGGAAAATAAGTTAGTCTTCTTGTAGATTCACATCTCCCACTTCAGTCTAAAGGGAAATCAAATTGGCTTTGATGAAACCAACTTTGTTTTCCATTGAACTGAACTGAAAGAAGCTAGCAAACTTCTTGTGGTTCAAATAAAAACCACCTGGCTTCTTTGAATGATGTCACTGGGGGGGTCATTGTCATCAGAGTGTGATGCATCAAGTACTTTTTTCAGATTGCTGGATTCGTAGATCCTGAAAACATCTTCAGTTGTTTCAGTGGGCCAAAAGCTTTCTAGTCTACGCTTCTCTTCAATTCTCTCTCTCTTTTTAGAAAGGATTTCTTATTGTTTAGACAAATTGATAACAGTGTTGCTTGGATTCTCCTTAGTATTCTTACTCAATAAAAGGTAGCATCGCTTTGACCTTGATTTCAGTGTTACTTCATAGAGTTTTTTTTCACCTATTTTCTATTCCCTCCCTAGTAATAATTTATTATTAAATAGCACTGAACCTTAAAACAGGCATAATCCCAAAGTGCTTCACGTATATTAATTCATTTAATCCTCACAACCAGCTTATGCTCATATTGTAGTACTATTCCCAGCATCCCATTAAGGAAACTAAAGCCCAGAGAGGTTAAGTGATGTACCCAAGGTCACACAGCTAATAAGAGATGGAGCCAAGGTCCAAACACAGGCAGTCTGGCTTCAGAGGACTTACTCTTAATTGCTGCATGATACTGCCTGGTTAGAGGCAGTACTTTTCGTTCACAGTTTGTTTTCTCCTTGGCAGTGGATGTAAAGAAAGTTTTGGAAAAAGGCTGGTGGGGTAGTGAAGACACTGTTAAGATGTTCTTTGAACTAGCCACATATCATCTGAGCCTCAGTATCAGCACATGTGATTTGAGATGGCAACCACATTTTAGCATTGTTAGGAATAAAAGATGCACCAAGCAAGCCACAATGGCTCACCCCTGAATGCATTGGGATGCAAAGGTGGGAGGATTTCTTGAGGCCAAGAGTTTGAGAGCAGACTCGTCAACATAGCAAGACCCTGTCTCTACAAAAACAAAAAACAGCTGGGTGTGGTGGCATGTGCCCATAGTCTTAGCTACTTGGTAAGCTAAGGTGGGAGGCTCACTTGAGACTGCAGTGAGCTATGATCATGCCAGGGTACTCCAGCTTGGGTGACACAGCAAGACCGTGTCTCTAAAAGATAAATAAATGAATGAATAAATAAAAGGGACATCATATAAACTGCCTAGCCCATACTAGACACTCTTTAAAAGCATTAGAACTTCTTAATCTACTTAGATACATTTATTTTTTAGGATGGGTAATCTTAAATATCCCAAAATTTCTGACCTTCTACCTAGGAAAAGGAGTTGTGACTATACAAAGCATGGATATAGCCAAAGAAATTGTTCTGTAATAGAACATTTTAACCTCTGGTAAAAAGTCCCACACAGAGGGGAGGGCATGGCACATTTTTTTCCAGAAAGGGGTAGGCATAAATATTTTCAGCATTGCAGGCCATACAGTCTCTGTGATAGCAACTCGACTCCGCTCTGCCATTGTGGTGCAAAAGCAGCCATTGATCATGCGTAAGGAACAAGTATGGCTGTATCCCTTGGATGAGAGTTTGCTGGAACATTTTTGGTCACCAACATGTCTTTAGCTGAGGAACGCTTTTGTGGCTCCAGACACAGCTATCCAGGGTTATGTTAGCTTGGATTCACAGAACCCTCAAGTTAATCATATTTGGAGGGAAATACCCATGTGTGTCATGCCCCATGATTTCATTGACCAACCATGGTTTTTATACTTTCTAGATCTTGGGTTCTTTCACCTAGTTTTTAGGGTTCATACTTGGGGAGAGGAAGTGACTTTGCCAGGTAACAGCTTTCTGGTCTTCCTCAGCTCCAGATTAATAAGCTGTAACTGTTCCAGAGGCCAAGCTTGGTTCTTCAGGATAAAAATCTCATCTGTCAATACTGTGCCACTGTTAACAGAGAGAGGGGTTCATAGAACAGGGGCTGGGGTGAGGGGGGACCCACAGGTCTAAACCTGAAGCCTATTTTTTTTCCCTCCTGAGGAAGAAATACCATAACTGTTGGTAAATCAAAACCAGAGATTTGACACTTTTCTGTGATCATTCTGCCGCGTTTGTTCCCAAGGTGAGGTATACCACAGGGCCCTTGATTTCAAAGATAAATACTGCACAAATAACCATCCTGTTGTCTTTCCCTCACCACCAACAGAGGGACACTTTATCAGAATCAGCAGATACCCTGTCTATTGTACGCATTTATTTCTCTGTTTCTTCTGAAAACAACTTGCAGTTCTAGTGTTGATTTTTTTTT